ATGTTAACATTTCTATCCTTGTCGTTGTTGCTCCTTCTCGGCCTGCCAAAAGCACACAGTAAGTTTTTTTGGGTTTCTTTCTTTTTTTTTTGTTTTGTTTTTATTCTTTATTTATTTCTGATAAATAGGTTCTGATATTTTTTTTTTCTTCTTTATTCTATTCAATTACTTAAGAACTTCTGGTAGTTCTTTTCTTACTTTTTTTCGTTGACAACTTTTTCTTTTACTTCAGCAGCCATAAAAACAACAACACACACGCACACATACTTGAGAGTTATGCATGCCACATGTTTTACTTTATATTAAATTAAAAAAAAAATAACAAAACAGAAAACAAAAAAGCTAGTTATTATATATAAAATTACATAAATGCTTTCCCAGGCTTATATACACAAGATATTCATAAATGTTTCTAGGAACCAGTTAAAAAATGTAAGGAGATATCTAAGAATATATATATATATATATATATATATATATATATATATATATATATATATATATATATACACACAAACACACACACACCATATCTCTTATAGGAATGTATTTTTATACCTCTTTCTCTCTCATATAAGAACCATATCAGTATCTGAATGTGTCTGTGTATCTCTGTCTATCATATATATATATATATATATATATATATTTTACATATATCAGACCATATCAATATAGGAATGTATGAGTGCATATATATATATATATATGAGAAAGATACACAGACACATTCAGATGCTGATATATATATATATATATATATATATATATATAGATATATATATCATATACATTCCTATATTGATATGGTCTGAGATACATATGTATATATATATCAGTATCTGAATGTATCTTTGTATATATATATATATATATATATATATTTTACATATCTCAGAGCATATCAATATAGGAATGTATGTGTTTGCGTGTATGTGTGTGTGTATATATATATATGTGTGTGTGTAGTGTATATATATATGTGTGTGTAGTGTATATATATATATATATATATATATGTGTATGTGTGTAATGTATATATATATGTGTATGTGTATATATATATATATATACGTATGTTTAGTACATATATATATATGTATATATATATATGTGTATATATATATATATGTGTAGTGTATATTTGTATGTAGTGTGTATGTATATATATATATGTGTGTGTGTGTGTATATAATAATTTACATATATCAAAGCATATCAATATTGGAAAAGATGTGTTTGTGTGCATATATATATATAAGAAATTATATGTATAAGCTTTAAGAATCATCTATATATGTATGTTTATGTAAGCATTCATGTTTGTGTTTTTGTGTGTGTGTATATATATATATATATATATATATATATATATATATATATATAAGAATTTATGTAAACTCTTGTTTGTTTTTGGATAATGTTTGTTATTGCTTCATTTGACAAATATAGATTTAACAAATCTATAGTAATTAATTCAAATTGACAAATAAGAACAGAAAAGGCTAATTTTCTTTTCATTGTTAATCACCACCAAAATGTGTCATGTGATCACAAATGACCAAAACTTTTATCACCTAATTCACATGTTGCAAAGTTAAACTGATTTTTCTTTTTTTTCCCAGATTTATTCTAATATTTGCTTTTCAGTTCTGTTCTCATCGTTTGGTTTTAAATCAGGTTTGTTTGCAATATGAATCATAGTAAAAAAAGAAAAAAAATTTGCACCTTAATAATTTCTACTCTGATTTCAAATTTAATTACAGACCATATTTTTCTGTCATGATATTTAGATGAATTTTAACTCACGTTGCTATTTAACAATCTCCGCCAGGTAAACCTTTTTTTCTTTTTTGATACATCCGGCAATATTTCAGCTAATGTCTCCAGGTGGCTATTAGTGGGAAAATCATTTTCCTTGTCATCCACTTGAATGTATTTATTTTTCATCAAAAAAAAAAACTGGAAGTAATTCCCACATTTTTCAGTTCAAATATTTAATTTTCCTACAAAAATCATTTGATTGTTACGACCTGTGAAACCTATGGAAATTCCATGGTGTATGATTATAATGTGAATCATGAACACATATTTTTATAAAAATTACTAAAAAATACTTTCTATATGAAATGAAATCAAGTTTAACAAATATTATTAATGATATCCTTTTGCTATTCCAAATATATTTAGAATTTGTCATATTTCCTTAGCCTAATTTAGCAAAATTAGAGCCTTGAGTAAGAAATAAACTCAGTATGTTTGAAAAAGTTAAAGATTATTTTCTTTTTAACTATTCTATAACAGACATCATGTAGATATTTACTCACTTTACTTTTGTTTGGCATGAGGCCATTGTAATTGAGCATCCAGTGAGGACTGAACTCAACAGCAATCTAATGAGATTAGTTAGCTAAACATTGCTCCATGGCAAACACCTAAAATATATATATATAATAAGAATAAGAGCCTAATGATAATATAGTAAAAATAAATGCCTAAATACATATACATACATATATATATATATATATATATATATATATATATATATATATATATTGAATAAAAGACAGACCATGTTAAGATTCCATGTAATAAGCTATTTCACCATAACCCCTTTAACAGGGTACATTTCAGCTTTTGGAAGTAAAGTCTGATGATCCAGAACCCTGTTAAAGGGGTTATGGTGAAATCTTATTACATGGAATCTTTTAAAGTGGTCTGTCTTTTATTCAAACATATCTGCTCTGAACTTTACATTGAGCTCTCTGGATATCCTCCTCCTCAGGTCTACCCATACAGATTACCTATATATATATATATATATATATATATATATATATATATATATATATATATTGGTAATCTGTATGGAATTTTCAAGAAGATATAGATCCAGTGAGAGCTTTATGTCAGAGACAGCGCAATAATAGGTAATGAAAAACAAACACTTAAAATACCATGAGGTGATATTTATTTCACTGTGGTCAATAAAAATGGCTTCAACTCTTCAGACCTGCAATCCAGATGTAAATGGAAAAAATCACTCCAGGTTTAAAAATTAAGAATAAATTTACGTTAAATGTACTGATCTTATATTGAGAGAGTGGGTGAAAGAAAGATGTAAATTTATGATTGTGTAAAAGGAGGGGAGAAAGGAAATGGTGTGTATACAGAGAGAGGAGTGAAAGAGAAAATAATTGAATTGACAGTGAGACAAAGAGAATTCATCTCAGTTGTATTAACTAACATTAGGACCCATGGTTAACATACAGATTTTGGACATAAGTTGTTACGTAAAATGCCAGTTGAGAATACATAAAAATAAGGAAAGGAAAGAGTAAATCAAAGTACTGGAAAGTCAATGAGAGTTGAAAAAAGATTTTTGGTGTAAAATCGAAATTCTGTCTGAATCCTTCTTCAATCAAGATCCTGACACATATGAATTCAATTTAAAAAAAAAAAACATTTATAATTTATATTAAAAATGGTGGTTGGTTAGGAACATTCTAAAAATATTCAGAACTTAGCTAAAGATTTTAAATTTAATGTAAAAGAGATCTATTCTAAAATAAAATATATATATATATATATATATATATATATATATATATATATGTTTTAATATGTAATTATCTCTGAGATTCTCCATAAATAATTTATAAAACCTATTATGATATTTTGAAATATATATATATATATATAAAGATAAAATTAAACATTAATTATAAAGTATATAAAATAAGCAATAGTCTCAAAACTCCTATAATCTAAATAAACTTATTAAAGTTTAATAGGATATGAAGAGACTTTAACTAAGTTAATGGGATCTGAACTATCTAGTACATATCTACTAAGATTACAAGTTTACATCTCTAATTTCAATAAGTATCTCTATCTATATCTATACGAGAAACTTTTTTATATAAATTAACATGTAGTACCCAATTTGGACAAAAATATATTTAGCGACTTTCTATCTCCAATATATACATTGCAATAATGACAGTCATAGTGGAAAGATCAGAAATGTAAAAAAAGCAAACAATTTAATAAATACATAACACACATGGTTAACATAAATGCAAAATATGAGCGCTATACATGCATATATCTATATATACACATACCCATATATACAATATATACAGATCATTAATCATATATACACTCACTCATTTATATAGATATATATGAATACATCAAGTAACAGTAACTCCAAATACATGCAAAAAAGAATCTAGTACCAGTATGTAAGTAGTATATCCAAATTCAACATACATATAATTACATATATTCTCATATATACACATATATACATAGAATACCATAATACGTATATATTACATATGTAAAAACAATCCCATATCCATACACAGTCAACACCTAAATATATACATATATATAGCAATTTTCCAAGCATAGCTTAGATGTGGCACAAGGCCGAAAGTATGGGGCACCCAGTGAGGATCAAACTCACTACTCAGTTGTAATTGTTCTAGCAAGACAAGCTTGCTAACCATTACACCGTCTCAAGGTGCCTATATATCCATATATATATATATATGCACAAAAAATATACACATACACATGAAAACAGAATAATTTCATGTATAACTTAACTCCAGTTATAATCTAATATGTAAGCACAATATCACATAGATACACAGAACCATATTTCAAAACACACACACACATATATATAACCATACACATACCCATATACATATTTATACATACATACATATATATATATATATATATACACATGCACACACACACACACCTCTGTACATGTATATATTTATACAAGTATACACATTCCCAATCTACCCATATGTACATCTCTATACACAAACATATATCCATATATATATATATACATATACACACATGCATATATATATATATATATATATATATATATATATATATATATATATATATATATATATATATATATATACACACACACATGTACAAATAGTAAGAATAAAAGCTAAAAGCTTAAAAATATAAAATAAACTGAGGACTAAATGCCAAAATTGACAATAATAA